TTATTATCAGCTTTATTCAATATTATATTATTGGTACAATATAGAATTCTCAGTAAAAAAAAGTATCTCAACAAGTTTCCTTTCCTTATTTCTTGATCGATCCTGACGGCAAATATTGAGTGATCCCCAGTTAGATGTTAGCAGTTCAGGAATCGACATCTGAATAATGTTCATTCCTCTCAATGCATATTGCCAGCAACCACAATGTTTCCGATTGAGCTATTCATGGAGTTCGAATGATAAAACCTGTGAACATCTTTGACATTTTGTCGAAATTTGAGTGCATCACCAGGGTGGATTATCGGAACGAATGCACCACCCACCATGTACATCACATTACTACCACATGCTCTCCAATACGCGCCAAGCCAAGAAGACTACCACCACATAAGCTAACAATTGCTAAGCGAGAATTCGAGCACATGTTGCAACTAGGCATCATTGGGTAGTCTAGCAGCCCATGGGCTTCCCCACTACATATGGTCCCAAAGAAGGATCAAGATTGGCGCCCCTGTGGAGACTACAGCCGTTTAAACAATCTGACTATTCCGGATCGATACCCCATTCCTCATTTACACGACTTCTCATTGAACCTACATGGAAAACGGATTTTTTCGAAGTTAGACCTAGTTCGAGCATATCATCAAATACCGATAACACCTGAGGATATGTTAACGGAACGATTAATTAACTATCATCCATATTTATAGACTGTTGTAACATTCACATTACCTTCTACGTTCGGATATACTACTGAAGCCATATTGTCTCATTAGAATCATTATTTACCTATAGTTGTGGATTCTGGTACCAAAACCAATACGACACGCACGAACCTGCTGATTTAAGTAACGTTGCATAAACGCAACTGAATCGGGTTATGCAATCAATAGACATAATGATATGTTAAAAACAAACACAAAAAAACAGATAACTTGTTGAAATATCTCGATGGAAGGAACAGTGTACCGCAGATATTCAAACAAGCCACCTTATGTACAAAATTAGTATCCATGTTGAGTCCCTATGAAATTATTTATTTTATGATTTTATCTAACATTACAGGTAAAACAAATAAGATGAATATTTATCGAAAAACATTTATCATAAAGCTGACCTTGTAGTTTAATTGATTATTTCTATATACATACACGCATAGATACGTATACACATAGATACTTTAGTCAGTAACCTACATATCTGAATACTAAGTGAAAACAATCAATAAGGTTAATAATTCATTGAATTAGTTCAGAAGAATTCTATAAATTAATAATAAGATTGTATAATGAATATTAATATTGTAACTAAGACAATGAATAAAATAGTATTGATTATCATCTATATAAGTTATTGTACTCGAATCAGAAAAGTATGCGTATTATTACTCTGCTCCAAAATGGCCTGGTACGGCCGAGAGTAGGGGGAGCCCGCTCTCCCTCTCGAAATGCTCGCACATGACCATGTGCATACATCCAATGACAGGGAAATCCTACTCACTAGTTTCTCGCACCACGGATGTTGCTTATGAAATTGAAAGGACGAAAATCGAATGTCCGGCACTTTAACCGGATTAATGGACATGGAGAGTCCACCTAGGGGAGTTGGAAAACCCTCATTCCAAACTAATGGTACACATTAGCTCCATTATCCTGAAGGAACAAATGGCGTATGAACCAATCGTTGATCACCGGGTATCATGGGACTGCATCTCCTAACGTTGCTCCACTGCCTTATGGATCAGACCTTCAGATTGAAGGCTCCAGATGTGGCCTCCTAAGAAAACCACCTGTTTCGGTTTGAGCAGCCGGACAGTATCCCAGCCCTCACACATATGAAATGAGATCTATGTGGCGCATATGTATTTGGTGCCTCCTTGTACCAATATCTGTGTTAAAATAAATAAATAATTGAAGGACAAAAGAGTGGAATATTAAGAATAAGAATGTAATCAATATTGTTTGATTGTAGTTTACGATAATACATAATATTGAATCTATTAGTTTGGATTTGTCGACTTCTATCAATTCGTGACCGTCTACAGTCATTAACTGGTACTATTGTTTTCTACTATTCATCTTCGATCTGATATGAATAAACATTTAAAGTGTAATCAGATTAAATCATTCAACACAGAGAAGTGAAACCCCACTAGAATCAGTAGCTCGACTATACACTATGAAAATGTTCAACCAACTTATTCAGTTCAGTTTCACAATTAAAAAACTGATAGACTTTCATATTTTGTTTCTCAATTTCAATTACACGCATTCATTGTTGTATCACAACCGATTAACCAAGTAATAGCACAACAAAATGAGTCAATAACAAGGGTTAATGTTGTTGTTTATATAAAACTGTTGCAATCTCATGATTGATAATTAAATCAAAAGGAATCAGAGTAATAACCAGTATGAGATTAAATCAAATTATCTTAAATGATGGATGACTGCTTGATTTACTTTGATCAATCGAGATTAACACTGTTCTACGTGTTACGAACATAAGACAGGATATGTAAATCATACTTCTTCTTTGATAACTAATTAAATAAGCCTGTTGAATAAAGATGATTCGTTTAAAAATATTGTCATCATATAGTTGAAAATATGTAGACATTTTGTTTCTATGATCTTATTTAATTACGTCTGTTACACCTCGTGAAGGAGTATAAGCCGTCCATCAGTATACTCCATCCAACTCTGTCCTAGGCAAACCATTTCAGTTTCTATGATCTAATACAATGAAATATTCCTCATATTTATAAGTACATGAAATTACGATGCCATTTTATTCACGGATAGAAACAGAAAATCAAGTGAATATTTCAAATTTAACGTACATATCATATAGGAATCTACTTTTCGAATAAGGTACTTAGTTTACATTCAAACATTTGTAAATATTATCAATATTTCTCATATTTTATTGATTGAGATCATGAACCGATTGATGTTAGACCACCAGTGGAAACTTGGAATCACTGGACAGCTGTCTAGTTCTTCTGTGAGACTGCTCAGAAGTACGCATCTATTCGCGGGACGAACGCTTAACCTCTAGACCACTGAGCCGGCATCCAACAGTGTTAGTGTCTAACCTCAACCAATTCACGAAACTGTAAAGTACTTAGAGGAATTATCATTCATATATCTTAACACATACTTTTGGTAGGAAATTGTTAAAAAAAAAACATCTCAACCATTGACATAATAGAATGTCAATAGAATTAGCCTAATTAATCACTGATTGTACTTAGTTCAAAAGTTATAGTATATGCATAAAAGATGTTTTATTTACAATTTGAGAATATTTGAAGTGTCAGCGTGTTATAAGGTGGTTTATCCACCAATCAAAATACGAGTTATACAATCTTAGCACTGTGCCAAACCAATGACGTTCGACCGGTATGGGCAGTCTAGCGTACTTATTTGGTCCTATGTCCGCCTAGCCCGTCCATTTGAGTCCAGAACAGCAATACCAGCTTCCACTATGCGAATCGAATCATTTATTTCAAACATATTGGGTTTATATATCAACCAAACAGACCGCAACGTACCATAAAATAGGAAATAACATTTATATACATTAAAGCCAAAAAGTGGTTGTGAACGTGGGAGGCAGTAGTTAATAAACTGAGCATAAGTTAGGGACACTAAATCGTACAACCATAATATATGGGTCAAAATAAAGCTTATAATAAGAGGAATATATATATACATAGTGTAATTAATGAATAGTTATATCATAAGAATATATAGATAATATTAGTCAATTAATATGTCTCAGAAGTTACTCGTGACTTAATCTTCGCTCGGATAAAACACAGCGTACTCAACAATCATTGTTTATTAGAATATCTATCTAATGAAAAGGCTATTCTATTTGGAAAGTATAAGTGTCAACATCAGGAGAGCGTAAACTAACGAGTTCTATTTCTTTATCTATTCAGTACAATGTATTTCATTCTATTTGTCAATTTTAATTCACAAAACGTCAAAACCTTCAATTCAAAGTAAGATCAACTATCAACTATGAAAATCAACTTGCGTGAAATAGGTAAGATGTTTATTTACTAATCAAAAGATGATCACACTGTGTAATAATTTGTTCTGTTCTACTTTATGACTCTGAAACGTGGACTTTAGAAACAAAGGACTTTTGTATTTTATAAGTATTTGACTGTAGATACTTTCAAAGCGTTGTTTTAGTGTATTGCGATGATCGAGTGTGGAACGTTGATGTTAAACAAATAGTAATACGTAAGTCAGTTGATAAGATAGGGAATTTTGATTAACGACTGGTGTTTGGGACATGTTACGTATGCCTAATAACGTCCTACTTCGACGAGCGATGGTGTTTATTGTAGTAGATTGGAATAAAACTAGGAGAGGCCAAACCAAAATATGGGATCAGTCCATGAATTCATTAGTTGTTGTACTGAGCCATGTTGGTAGGTTCAGAATACCCATTTATTTATTTATACACACAAACATTGGTACAAAGCGGCACCAAAATACAAACGCGCTATACGAAATCCGCGTGAGGGTAGAATACTCTATCTAAGTGCCCAAACCAAAACAATTGCATTCTTGAGGAAGCCACTCCCCGAGACTTTGACGAAGAAGTTCCCATCCACAAGGGAGTGAAGTATTCGTTTGAAATCAGGGTTTTCCAACACCCTTGAATAGGTAGACCTTCCGTAACCACCAACACGGTTAAAGTACCCGACATTCGCTTTTCGTCCTGTCAATTTTGCAAACAACACTCCCGATGCGAGAAGACAATGAATAGACACCCCTGGTAATAATTATATACACGTGGCCATATTTGAGCGCTTCGACAGAGAGAGTGAACTTTTCCTACCTTCAGTCATACCAGGACATTTGGAATCTTAGACCACTTTAATTGGGGATAGAATGATTATTGTAATTAACCGTTGGAAACTTTAATTGTCATGACTCAAAATCGATCACAATAACTCAGAATCATTAACTCTTACTCTTCTACTCAAAATGTTAAGTTCCAAAAGTATTTCATAATCTTTACTCTACAAGTTCATTCTTTCCTCTCAAATCATATTAATTATACTTCATTTTTTCCACTATCGTATCTACTACCTTGACTATTTCGTTACTGTGATATATGTATATGTATGATATCATAACAATTTGAACCAATACAAACATGTGTACGTTTATTTACATAGCTACAAAAAAAGGAAAGAAATACACCACCTTCGTATATATATACACACACACGCATATAATAGAAAATTTAATAACACATAGTATAATCATGCATGATATACAATTCAATTTTCTAAATAAAAAAATTCCCTGTATAAATAACTATAGTCTAAGGTTACATTTCAAAGTGAACAACAAAAACAGAATAGTAAAGAAAGATACATTAAGTGGACAATCCTAGCAACAAGAGATACGATAACTAATGTTGTAATAAACTTGTTTTCAAAAAACTTACATCTTACACCTAATCCAGATATTACAATGATCTTCAAGTGTGTGTGTGTGTGTGTGGATAAGTGGGATGGGATGGGGATGCAGGGTGGATGTATATCTATTCATGTACTTGTTGTTATGCTACTAAATATTCTATTGAGTGAATATAGAGAAGACAGTGTAAAGAAGACGAACAATACATCCGTTATGAGTATATTAACAACAACAAAAAATTTAATTAAATAAGAAAAAGTGCTGGATTCTCTAAAATCTTTTTAAATTCACTAAGCCAATAAGCTCCAACTGCTCCATCAACAACACGATGATCACAGCATAATGTAACTGATAAAATATTCGCTTCTTTAAATCTACAAAAGATAAAACAATACAAAATGAAGAGGAAGACAAAAAATAAATGAAAATCTATGACAATCATCACTTATTAATCATGATATTTGTGTGACAGATATCAGCTGTACACTTCTAGTTTCCATTTCAAGATTGTCTTAAATCTGTAACTTGAGTCGTTGCTGATTATTGTTTATTGAATTCGATAGTAAATGTAAGTGAATTGTATGTGTGATTACTTTTTCTCTTGTTCTTCTCTTTTTCAACTCTTTTCAATTTTGCTACTCTTCATGGTCACCTAGTAGTACACAAAACACCTCCTTCTGAATAGACGCGAACCACTACACATAACTTGCAGCTTCAATTGACTCATGATCTCAACTATTGAAATTTCTAAAATCTACACAAACATTTTCTGATAATAATCATCTGCTCACTAGTGACTGACTTCAAGAGATACTCCTGGAGTTCTAGTGAGAAGCAGTGACCAGTGCAGTTCAACCGGGTCTGTTGTGAGATAGTAACTCACTGAAGACAATGGTGAATGTGTCGCTCAATTTCGTGGATTAGTTGAAATTAGACACTAACACCATTGGATGTCGCCTCAGTGGTCTAGAGGTTAAGAGCTCGCATGAGAGACTGATAGGTCCTGGTTCCGAATCTCGCGGGGTGGGGCCGTGGATGAGCACTGCTAAGGAGTCCCACAGTAGGACGAAACGGCGATCGAGTGTTTCCAGATTTTCCATGGTGGTCTATCTTTAATTGACTTATGATCTCAACTATCGAAATTTTCTTATTGTTCACAAAAATGCAAGTCAAATTCACGTACATACACACACACATACGTATATATACAGATACACTAAAATATTTGATCAAATTTACCCTTTAGGATTTTTATTATCTGGTAGAATTTTTGGTCTTGTACTACCAACAGTAAGAATACATGCTTGAGGTGGATTAATTATAGCACAGAAATTAGTAATTCCAAACATCCCCAAATTAGAAATTGAAAATGTTCCACCCTGAAATAATTTTAAAAAAAAAACAATTGAGATATTAAATGTATTGAAAGTAATCTGAGATACTAATCATAAAATTCAATAATTAATTGAAGAGTAATTATTAACAATTAATGAAATAGTACTTATTAGCTGATAAGTCGGCCTATGCTCCTTCACGAGGAGTAACAGGCGTTAATAAAAAAGAATGCCTGATGTCAAAGAAGAAAAGTAAGTAAGTAAGTAAAGCTGATAAGTGAATTGTGGAATTCAAATGTTTAATTTAATGATTTTGTATACCATATCTTCATTTATAGAAGAACAATAGAGGCCCGAATAACTTAGTAGTAATGTCTAAAAATGTAAAACTAAATGATACGGTCCGAGTCTCACAACCACCATTAATTCGCCTAAAGATTACAGGTACGTCTTATTGACAAGTGTTGACTAGTACGAAACCTAAGTCCAAGGTTTCTTACTGACTACTTCTAAATATCTCAGACATTACATTTTTATGTAAGAGAGCTTCAAATTACACTACATTTAATTTAGCAACGGCTAATTGACTAAAGTACTTAACTTTCAACTATTGTGCTGTATACTTTAAAGCTTCTATTCAATTTCATGAAAGCACTCAATACTACTGTTTAAACTATCTAGAGAGGAATACACTGTTCGGTGTCAGTTAGAAAGACAGTAATAATTTGTAGCTTGGAATGCAACCGAAAATCCCTGACAATAATGTAGATGCATTCACTAAGTTCTCTTTTAAATATTCTATTTCTAAAACATACACTAGGTTTTATGTTGAGTATAATCAGTGAGTAGCAACGTAGGACCTTGTACGTATGTACATCGGTTCGATCTGCCATACCCTATTAGCACAATGATGGAATTTTTAAAGCGAATCCCAGAGTAATAGAGGTAGGAACAATATCAATAGTGATAGAAAATACTAGGTATCAAAGATATGATTCGAGAAAATATAAATTAGTGAAATAGAAACAAAAAAGTTGGGGAATTTAGAATCTCAGGATTTGTGGGAAGACAGATAATGGATGCACTTGCGTCACTGCAGACAATTTTTAGCCGTGCATCCGAAGTCTCTAACAGTTGGTTATAACAAAAACGCGTACCCCAACTAGGTGGCGGTAACCTACACCTATTAAAATGGCTTAATCCAATTATCAATGACTTCGTACTGATGCCAAGTTTTGGTTTAGTTGTCCCTACCTTTTTTCAGCTTACTCTCAATAGCAGATAACATCACCTGTCGAATAAGGAGGTAGTTGGACATACGTGACGCATGTGTCAACCACTTCATCAATCGTTTAATCATCCTTATCTAGTACCTTATTCCTAACACAGACATTGTTTACTCGATGGTCCCAAAATACACGAGTAAGGTTTCGAAGATATCTATGATAAAATACTAGTAACTTACAAATATCTTCCATTCCTAATGGCCATGTTTTACACCCATAAAATGGAACGAAGCGAACTTCTTTTGGTTGAGAGACAGATATTTCCCATAACCCACGAACTGGCTAAAAGCCAATCGAGCCTTCTGAATTCATGCCGAGATATCGTAAGACATCAGAACTGATTAGGCTCTCAAGATAAGTGAAGCGATCAATGCGTTTAACTTTCTGACTCCCTATCATAAATCCAGCCAATGACACAAGCCAGTCCTGGAGAAAACCACATCCTAAACATCATTGCATTGTTGCTTAAGGTGGTCAGAAGATTGAATTTCAAACAAAAATATATCATCTGCGTGTTCTAAGTTAACAAATTAATCCCTTAATAAAAGATCAACTCCTGAGAATTCAGACGATGAATGTTACTTCTAAAATCATATCTATGACAAAGTTCAATAAAAGTGGGGAAAACAAACAACCATGACGAATATCATTTGAAGTAATCAACTCTGATGACAGTTCGCCATAAGCTCTGAATTGACCCGAGGTGTTCGAGTAGAGAGCCTGTACAAGATTAAAGTACTTTTTTGATATGCCTTTAAATGAGGGACACTAACACAGAACCTCACAATCAACCGAGTCGAACTCTGTCTTAAGATCAAAGAATACAGCTTCCAGGTTTCCAAAGGTGGTGTTCTAACATCAATCGGTTCATGATCTCAATCAAAAACTTAATAATCTCCACAACCCCTATACTAGTAATATAGCTATAGTCGGACATTGAAAAGTATGTTGATTTTCCAGAACCTACGGTATGACTAACTGGAATTTATTATTTATTTATATTAACATATAGATATTGGTACAAGGAGGCACCAAATACATATGCGCCACACAAATCTCACTCGATATGTATGAGGGCTGTGATACTGCCCGGGTGCCCAAACCGAAACGGGTGGTTTTCTTAGGGGGCCACACCCCGAGCCTTCGACCTGAAGGTCTGATCCACAAGGCAGTGGAGCATCATAAGGAGATGCGGTTCCATGGAAGCCAGTGACTAACAATTGGTTCATACGCCATTTGTTCCCGCAGAATACTGGAGCCCATGTGCACCAATGGTTTAGAATCTGCTTGAAGTGCCGGACATTCGCTTTTCTTCCTCTCACTTTCGTAAACAACACCCGTGGTGCGAGAAGGCAGTGAGTAGGACTTCCCTGGCAGAGGCTATACACATGTGGCCATGTGAGAGCATTTGGAGGGGGAGAGCGGACTCTCCCCACTCTCGACCGTACCAGGGCATTTGGCGGCCAACACTATTATTCTTTAACGCCCTAATGAATATATTCTTGTATTATTCTATGGTTAATTTAATTCGTTACATAATACAAAGGAATAATAACTAATCTTTATATAATTGAAATAAAATCTACATTGTAAAACAAAAGTATACAAGTTAAAAAGAAAAGTTAACTCACCTGATATTCTTGAGGTTTTAATTTATTCTGTTTAGCTTTAGTAACTAACATTCGCATTTCTTTATTGATTTGTACTAAACCCTATAAATTGAATAAAAGAAATAACCATTTAAAGATACGGTGAAAATGAATATTGAACAAACAAATTGAAAACAATTTTTTTATGCGGATGAAAATCTCGGGAGGAGGGGTACTTTACCATAATCATCGTTTTTATAGTGCAGTTTGCATTCAATTATCATGTCAGTAATACTATGGTGTAGTTGTTACAAGCAGGTACTAAATAGATATGCACCACACTTCGTCATTCGACTTATGTGACGGCTGGGATGCTCCCCGGGTGCTCACACCGAAGCAGGTGGTTTTCTTGGAGTAGTACCACACCAAGAGCCTTTGATCTAAAAGTCTAATCCACAAGGTAGTGGAGCAACGTCAGGAGATGGAGTCCCGTGGTAGTCGGTGACCAAAAATAGGTTGATACACGATTTGTTCTCTCTAAATCTTCGAGCCCATGTGCATCATTGGTTTAGAATCAAGGTTTTCCGACTCCCCTAGGTGGACCTTCCGTATCCACCACCTCGGTTAAAGCGCCAGACATTCACTTTTTGTCCTCTCAATTTCGTAAACAGTACCCCCGTTACGAGAAGGCAGTGAGATGAAGACCATTTTACTTCACAAATTAACGAGGTAACCTCATAATACTTATGTTAATGAAATAAGTTATGGCTTTATGTAATCCGTCTGTATGAGTTGATTTCATGCTAGGAATTAGTTGATAAGACACGAACCACCTTGTAAACTGAATGATAACTGTATTTGCACAACGCCATCTCGACATAATGTCTGTAGGAATTGCGTGACTTAGCCATTCAAGTTGCTAGAAATATTGATCAAAATTAAATACAACATTTGTGTCGGTTAGACTGTATACCAATTCTATTCATTGAGACTCAATGGAAAAAGTCAAGAGGTGATCAGTTTATAAAATGAAAAACAGCGACAAAAGATTAGAATCTGTTAGTCGATCACGACTCTCTTGGTGGGTACAGGAGCCCTAAATGTTATCCAACTCAGTGGGTTAAGACATTATTAGATGTGCACAAAAAAGAAACTAGTGGTAACTTGGAATCCTGAAGGGAAACTGAACAGAGGAAGGCCAAAGAACACACTGAGTCGAGAATTGAAAAAAGACATCAAAATGATGAGTAGCAACTGGGAACAACTAAAAAAGACAGATTAGGAAAAAGTTCGATGAAGAATGCTGGTGGGCGGCCCATGCTTCTCTACGAGGGGTAACAGGTGTAAGTGAAACGAAAATATCTCACTATTACGAGTATGTAAAATACTGTTGGAAAATAAACGACTAGAGCAAAGAAATAATGGGGCGCAAACCTGGAAAATTACGAAAGCCATCATCCAGAAGATACAAGTGTTTATAAACAATTGTCTACTCAAAATACTTCGGATCCGTTAGCCGGATACTATCAGCAAAAACCTACTATGGGAGAGAACAAACCAGATTCCAGTGCAGGAAGAAGTACTGGAAATGGATAGGGCACACACTGAGAAAACCACCCAACTGCATCACAAAGAAAGCTCTCAATTGGAATCCTCAGGGCCAAAGTAGAAGAGGAAGACCAAAGAACATACTACGTCGAGAAATGGAGACAGACATGAGAAGAATGAACAACAATTGGATAGAAGTTGAAAGGAAGACCCAGGACAGAGTGTATTGGAGAATACTGGTCAGCGGCCTATGCTCCATTAGGAGTAACAGGCGTAAGTAAGTAAGTAAGAGCAAAGAAATATTTCTTTTCAGTTCAATTGAAAATAAATTCTCCTTACGTTCGGAATTCATCTATTTATTTTTTTAACTTCTGAAAATGAAAAGTTTTGCTTTGCCCGAAACAAAATATTAAGTTAAACAATTAAATTTTTGTTACCTTTGTATCTGCAGAAAATATTATTGGTGTGATTAATCCAGAAGGAATAGCCACAGCTACACTTACATCGACAGTATGATATCTACATACACAAAGTAAAGGAAAGAATTAGAAAGGCAAAATAAATGAAAATTACTATGGAAGTTTCAATTCTTTACGAATTCGTTACTGTCAATGGTCATGTACATGTGTAACGTATACCTAACCACTTGACTACTTTGACGAGTGAAGATTGCAAATGCTGAGGTAGGTTGAAAGAAATCTAAGGGAGGATATACCAAAGAGTGGTATCAAGCTACGACATCATGGACTGTTGGTTATGTTTGTAGATACAGACTAACTGACTGAGGTTTGCATGATAACTGCGATCAGTGGTTGGAAACAATGGGTGACGGGTTAGAGTCGTTAGCAGTGAATGCAGTAAAATTCATTCTAAATCTTCCTCTTGATCTTAAATTTCAGTATCCTTTGATCAACACTTTTTATTTCTGTCTTGTCAAATTATATTCTTAGTGATTAGTCTTTCTTTTCATGATTATTATTACATTATTTCGGTATCTTTTGTTATTTTTATCTCGTCGTGCTAATCGAGTATAGCGACTTGGGCTAAGTACAATTGTCCCATGCCCTATATTGATTATATGTGTCTGTTTATGTACATTCATATACATTTGTTTTAGCTACATATCCTATAAAACACAGGCTAACAAGTATTATAGAGTTAATGACTACATGTTTGCTTATATTGTAGTTACAACTTATGATACTTCCTGGTAGAAATTTTTGTAAATTTAAATCCAACACTGACCAGTTGATCTACGACAATTCTAAAACAGTGACTAACGAATACATGCAAACTCATGTGCGCAAATCTAAACGTCCATATATTATAGGTGTATAATATGGCACAACCCACTGTTGTGATATACGCTTCCTCCAGATGAGTTTTACGTGCTAGTATTAAGGTTTTGTATACTGGGTATGATAACGACGTGATTAATACATGAAATCGATTTCTCTTAACGATCGTCCAAAGAGTTGAAACTTCGAGTACTACAACCATCATCAAAAAGTACAAGTATTCATAAACAGTTGTTTACACAAGATAGTCAAGATTCGTTTCAGATGCCGGTTGTCCGAGGGAAAATCTCACTGCTGTCACACTCCTCTACAGTTAACAGTACTTCGCCCTCCAACCCCAAGTTGCTGGTTTTAGTCTTACCGTTCTCCAACTGATCTGCATGGCATGGTAGAACCCAAAGGAAAAAGTGTTTCAACTAACTCGCTTGAATTATCACAATAGATAAACCTGACTCCACGCCAAGGCAGCAGCTACGATCGGGAATCTGAATATAACTAAATAATATAAGAATTACTGTATTTCGATGTCATTTCGCTTTACTATGAGGGTCAAATAAAAACCTATACATCGTCTCCATGTTCTTACTTCGGTCATCCGACCCGTGAGTTCAAGTAGCCAATACCAGGATGTTAGTTAAGCACTCCGCAGACATAATAACAAATAGAGTCAAGTTTCGAAGGTGTTTTGTCCTCTAAACTAAATTATCCAGTTGTTTATTTTTTTTGATAACATCATTAGTACAAACCATAATAAGAAGTGAGTTAGTCGTTAAGACTTTTCTATAAATGGTTGATCATTTTTCGTAGGCGAATGGTCGTTGTTTGTATATTTATTTTGATTGCCTCCATCTATGATCTGATCTTTGATCCTCAAAATTCTCATTCTGAGTTACACATATACTCTATCATTCCATTGGAGCTAAATATCCCTACCCAAATAAAAGTTTTAAGTACTACAAATAATTCGATTAGGGACAACTTAGTGAATTTCTCATAAATATTATATATATTAAGCTGAATCCAATTTAAACAAACATTCAAATTATGAAACAATATCAAACAACTTACTGTCGAATAAAATCACCATGCCAAGATGAATTACATTCAGGTACTTTTAAACATGTCAATGATGCTGCTTTTATAAGAATATCATTTAAACTTATTTTTGGCACAGGTTCATCAGATTTTGAGTCATTTAAATTAGATAAACTTGAATTAATTTTAGAGCGTATTTCTAAAATTTCATCTACTTGAATATCCATTGTTAAATAATAATGTGGAATAGTTCGTTTTGATTCAGTTAATCGTTTAGCAATTACCTTAGATTCAAAGAAGAAATTCATAGAGAATTAGTGACAGTGTTGATTACTGAAAAATCAATGAACTTTGATTGATTTTGACATGAGTTGGACAAAATATTATGTTTTTGATTGAGATCATGAACCGATTGATGTTAGACCACCACAATTGAAAACCTGGAAGCACTGGACGGCCGTTTCGTCCTATTGTGGGACTCCTCAGCAGTGCTTCCAGGTTTTCAATTGTGGTGGTCTAACATCAATCGGTTCATGATCTCAATCAAAAACTTAATAATCTCCACAACCCCTATACTAGTAAAATATTATGTGGTTAATATACAATTTACCGAACAAATTTCATATAATACCATCTCGTTCAATCATTGTATATTGTCGAAAGTCACAGTGACATGAAAGTGTGAACAGTCATCTTTCAGAAGAATGGATATGTACACTTTATCAAACAAAATTGCAATTGAGCAAAATCGACAAGAGAATTTAATATACTGATTATATTAATCCATATAAAAAGTTGTTACATATCAGCTGGAGTTGATTGAAATAGATAAAAATCACAATTTGACAAAATCCCTCCAACCTACTTATATCATAACAAATGGGATACGACGACAGAGAAAGATGAGCTAAATAGAATGGAACGTCTGGATTGCTACATCTAACAAAGCGGCCAAATTTTTTTTTAGCTAACATCTATTATCACACATTTTCTCTCATTCATATAGATACGATTTCGAGATCAGTGCTTATCTGACTGTTGATATTATTTCAAAGACAAACCAAAGATTAATGAGATTGTAATCTTTTCAGTCTGGTCAAAGATGTTTCGAATAGATCTTCACACGCCAATATAATACATTTATTTGACTTAATGTATAGCTTTTAGAGAAAGCATCACGAAATTAAGTCAGATTTTAGGAGACTGATAAAACTCTCTTGGTCACATGAGGCTTTGAAAAGTAAATCCAAAGATAGGTAGAGATAGAATAGGAACTAAAACAAATATGTAATAATTTAAGATATTACGCTTTATGCAAACAGACGAAAACAAAAAAGTTCGACATACAAGTATTGCCCTCATTAACACAGCATTCAAAAAGAAAAACAGCTGAAAACAAATGATGAAAAGATAAATAGTAGGTGGATTTAAACCAGATACAATGAATTCCTTAATTAGAGGGTCTTTATTCCATCTGACAACTCAGATCAAAAGTTCAATGACACTGTGAACTGAAATCAAGTCATAGTCGAGCTGCTCTTAGTGTTCTGGGATAAGAGTACGCGTAACTGCACTACAACTTCTCTACTAAGAAAGATGATAATTAAATTCCTTTCAAATTAATTTTGTTTAAGCTGTATTTCTAGAAATGAATTTCGTGTTCGGATCTACAGATATTCATCAGAATTCATCGCCGTGTGTCGATATGGTGTAGCAACTGGGGCTGATGCACATGTGTATCAGGTTATATGTTGTTTGCGATTGACTGAAATCGAACGAACTAAGAGCAAAAGCCTAATGCGGTTAGACACGAAAGCGGTGACAAACTAATTTTTAGAGAATCTTAAAGAAAAAACTCGGGTATGTCTACTCTGCATTTATCGCTTGCATTGTGAGGTGAGATTGAATCCCAGTATTTTCAACGTCATCGCTAGTAAAAGAATAAAAAAATATTCAAACTAATTTACAAATAAACACCGGTCGTTTTACTAGATCCAAAGTACACTAAAACGAAACCCCTCGCTTGGAAAGTTAGTTGTGAACCTAGTCCAAGTAGTCGAGTAGGAATACACCCTATGTCTTAACACAATCACCTGCTTCGGTTTGGGCACTCGAGCAGTATCATAGCCCCCACACAAATCAACTGAGATTTGTATGGCGCATATGTATCTGGTGCCCTCTTGTACCAATATCTATGTGTTCAAATAAATAAATAAATAAATAATTTACTTAGCACAATCGTACTAAACATATCATGAAACTAAAATACAAATCCACTCAATGAATTTGTAAATACACTTACTGATCGCATGTTGCTAACATTAATATCCTCGAATTTTCCATAATTTAACATTGGACCACTAGTCATTGTGCTAGCTTTTTGATCAAGAGATTCAAGATTTAAGTCAGTAGAACGAATCATGCCGTACATGCCAGTGCCAACTACATTTGACAAATCAAGTCCCTTTTCAGCAGCCAAACGACGAGCGAACGGTGAAACAACAGTCCTTTCTCCGGTTGCTGGTGCTTTGGGAGTAGGAGCAATAGGCTTATGTGTAGCTGGTGAAGGCTGAGGAGCAGCAGCAGGAGGGACCTGAGGTTTGGGTACTTCAGTTTTTGGAGTAGAAACTTGTTCCTGAACAGAATTTAAAAATAAACTCACTTGTAATTTAAAGATGAAATATGAAGCATATATGTGCTTTATACGAAATATTACGAAGGCATGGGATCTACAAAAACCATATGGATAACGGCTAGCAGTAAAATCAAGGACGCACGTTTCGTCCTATTTGGGACTCGTCAGCTAGATGTGCTCTCATCCCAGAGTTTATGTTCACTCCAATATTTGAACTCAGTACCGTTCGCTTCAAACGCCATCGCGTTGTCCACTTAGCTACTGAGTCCTGATAGCCACTTGCTTGTGCAATGGGGTGAAGTTTAAATTCACTTGGTATTGTTTACTTGAATCTTCCCATTGATGTTTAGGACTGCAATTGATTAGTCCCTTATTCGCATATGTGCAGACTATTCGGATTGTCCCAATATTGACTTAATTCACATGCATTGTAAGTAAGGATAGATGGGAGTTAACTGAACTATATTAATAGTAAGATTGCAGTGAACGAGAACACAAGTGGAGACAACCGAAGGTATTTGAATACAAAATCTCAGAATCACTTAGTAACATCTGAGAATCATACAGCGCATACTTCATTTGAAAAAAATGTCAATCCATCGTTTCAGACTTCATTGATCCTTCATCTCCACACCAATCAGTCTCTGTCCTTATTCTCTTTCTTTCGATCTTCTTAACCTTCTGCCTCAAGGAATTTCACTTTCGATTGATGATACATACCACATATATCTGTCGGCGTCAGTAGCACACACCACATCAATATACAATTGAGATTGTAAGTTGAAACGGATCAATTTTCCTAGTATTAAACACTCCCCTCTGTCAAACGACTGAACTGAAGATTGTACGTGGAGGCAATCAAAATAAATATGCAAGCAACGATCATTCACCTACGGACAATGATATATTTTTTTATAGACACGAAAGTGTTCACTTATTTAGTTAGGCATATGGACAGTTATTTACAGAGGTTCGCTAACTTTATTCCAGATTGTAGCTAATGAATGAAATAGTTGAGATTTACTACCCACAGAACAGAGGTTTGAATAAATGTTAAATAATTAAATAACAAACGCTGTACGTTTTGTATTATTATGGACAGCGTAGTCTATTGCTAAGAGCTCCGTCGGGCAATAAGAATGTGTGACTGGTCACAGGATGACGTTTAGTATTTTAAGTGAGGTAATCGTACCTTTATTGCATCTTAACGTTTCCCGAAATTTTACTGGGACTATTTATCGTGCAACCGATTGATGTGAAAATATATGCTAGAAACTTGCACAGAGGTCTTGGTTGAAAAAAATTCGACGGGAGCTAGCTTGGCTAGTTAATATCAAATGTAGTTTGGATAAAAAGTACAGGTTTATTTACTCGAGTTTGAGTGGATAGTAATGATACCAATCAGCTGTCCAAGCGGAGATAGACGGAAGGAAGTTTGAATCTGCAAAATGGGGGTTGAAAGCCGAGTACTTTGACAAGAGTTACCACCTTACTAGTGTGATTTGAGTACAAATCCATAACTGAACAACAAAAATCAGGATCATTAATAAGCAATACTGAAAATACATCCAAGGTACTGAAAATCGGACGGTTTAACTATAGACTATGGAGGACAGACATGACGTTCGTCCACAGTGATATCAGAGGCATAAAACTTACTAAAAAATACTGGTTGTTTCTTAAATTGTAGGTTTCTAGTTTATTTTATAATATCCATCTTATTTTCCAATTAACATGAAAGTCTTTTGAATGTGGTTAATATGGCTGAAGACCGTTAGAACTACAATAATTATGCCTGAAACTAACAGATTGACTTCCTACATGTTGAACTACATTCAAATTCAAAATTTACTTCACCAGTACATGTCAGGACTGCAAACGAATGAACCAAATTATAAAGATATTGAGGACACCTTAGTGTTACAACATACCATAGATAACTTCAAAAGTATATTTTTATCCCCGAGGTAGATATTTTAATACTGCAATACGAACTTAGTATATAAATGTTTAAGGAAATATTTTAACGGTATTGAAATACACATGAATGACAACTTACTGTTGGTCCAGTTACATAATCCTTGAAAGCCGTGACGGCACTTTCGTCTTGAACTATGATACATAGAGCCTAGAATGCTAAAATAACATAACGTGAAAATATACTGTTCCGACAGGTATATCCTTGCTTCCAGCAGGGGCCAAGATTTTCGCAAGATATCCAGACTCACTGGCATCAAATGACATAGTTGCTTTGTCCGTTTCGATTTCAGCAAGTAGGTCACCTTCCGAAACCTAGAAGATTAACAAAAGAGGAGCTAATATACTTCATCGCCTTCGTTCTTTGCCCAGCTTACAACCGTACCTGTCTCCATTGTAGGAGACAAGTTGGGAAGTTTAATTACGAGATGAGGAGGATAAGCTGAACTGTAAAACTATTCAGCTGACAAACTTACACATAAAACGTTTGAAAGACAACAAAGGCAAATCATGATTCGTTAGGATGATCGGCCTTTTAAGATTACTTACATTATTTCAGGGCACTTACCTGTAAATGACAGACCTCTGTGTAAAAACTGGTAAATTTTGTCTTTTTCCACTCGAAAAGCAAGCACTCGGTTTGTAGACAGTGCGCAACCTCAAAAGAAGTCTACGGGACCGAAGAAACATATCCGAACAACGGAAAATTGAAATACCAGCTTTCGTCAAAGACACTAAACATATTCCACATTTCATACACTAAAACACAATGTCTAATATCATCATAAATGGCCTATTGATGGGTAATATTACATTAACAATGGTTTATTTCAAGAATAGTCGATACATTCCAAACTTTCAACCCCATTTAAAGTCTTGAAGAATAAAGAGCGTTTTCAGAAAGTCGTGGATTTCTCATTTAGGAATTAAATTTACTTTTGTTTATTTGTCTCATTAAAGCATACTCGGTCGACTCTAACGTGAAATATTTTGGTTAAGGTTTGGAATTTTCGTTAGATCCGTACCTACCCAAAACTACTGTTTCCGTTCATTAAACTAAGAACAAAACGTGGTGATGATATTCCTGCATTACTGTTGTATGAAAATTCAAATAGCTCTAGCCGAATCAAATCTGATTTAGTTGAGACTTTGCCTAGCTCTGAGGGAAATGTTGACAATATTTATCATAACTATATCACTGAGATACCACTTATAGGACCTGTGCATGTGACTAAGAAAGCTGTTCTTCAATTATCCATTAACATCGGACCTAGCAAGACATCGGGTTCTGATGGGTCACACTCGCGATTGCTGTCACCTTTCACAGCATTATGTCAGGGCCACTTATGATGCTGTTCAACATGTATCTTTCTCACACTCAACTCTCTATGGACAGGAAAATTGATATAGTTAGTCCCGGATTTGAATATGGACAAAGACATATCGTGTCTAACTACCGACCTGTCAATCTAACCAGTATAATGGTTAAGTCGCTTCAAGAACTCACACAAAATCATACAATCTGTTAACGCCCGAGCAACATTGGTTTCGGACTAAGCATTCAGGCTTAATAAAGTTACTTATTGAGTGAAAGGGTCAAACAGCAGCCCAAGATGGCTGCTTTTCAGTCGATATATATGTATAACATATTTGTTCAAAGGCAGGTATATGCCATTTTTACAGGCATGATCTACAGATCACAATATTTATTGGCTCACAGTATGCATCTTAAGCAATGTTGTTAAATGAATATAATCTATAAAAGTGGATATCAGTTCACTCGTTCACATATATTGAGTAGTCTTCAAAAGATTTTCCAAAGTTACATCGCGTCCACGTTACACACAAGATCTAATCCCAGCATGATTGTGTTAGGATTCTGGTCATACAAAGTATTTATGCAACGTAACTTTTTAGGTTTATAGTCGCTATAAAGTAGACTTGTGGAGCGCTTGGTGCGAGCCACGACCTTGGGAAACGCATGCGTCGAGGTTGTTCCAGATGTCAGAAGTTCCATAGTTGTGCCCTCAGAGCAAGATTCTGAAAAAAGATTAACAAAGAAGCAGCAAGGCAATTTTATATCAACGACAAACAATACTCAACATTTTGTAACGGAACAGACAGAGGTGTGATAAATTATTAGATTAAATTCATACTAGCTCTTGTTGCCGGAGTGAGATATGATCCGAGGCTCCATATGAGAGAATGCAGTTATTAATAACAATGAGTGATGATATTTACCGAGGTGGAGTAAGTTCAAATGAAGGAAGAGAAGTCAAGGCTGGAATAAGGAAAGCTGTTAATTAGAACAGAAAGTGCATATGGAGAGCAAAGTGTTAAGAAAACTAATAACTATATCTTTTATTGTCCGGTTTTTTATTTTTTCCATCCGATGCCTGCCACACAGTCCTAATGTAAAAGCCGGAGTTAGCATGTTATGAGTTGTCTTAGTAGAATAGCTAACCCAGTATAAAATTTGAAACATGAGTCTGAATAGCGAGCGTAGGAGAACAACCTCAATATCACTGATTGATTGACTTATTGCCGATCATAAAGAGCCTGATACAAACAAAATATTCTGTCCCAAAAACATGAAGCTTGAGCAACTTACGTATTTTAGATGCTTTAGTTGAGATATGTTCAGAGAAGTTAAGACTGTGGTATTCATAAATTTTGATGGGAAGAGTTCTTACCTAGACCATGTGCAGAAGCTCCCGAGATTTGGAATAACAGGGGCCGTACAAGAATCGATAAGAAACTTCCTCCGTGACTGAATACAGAAAGTGATGGGAAATGGAGCACTATCTGAATAGGAGCCAAACAAACGTTGTGTACCCCAAAGCACCATCATAGGCTTCCCATTTTTTTCTCTCTAAATAAATTAGTTACGGCAGCTACTCAAGTCGTCAACGTTATTGTTTTCAGGTGATGTCATAATCTAGGGAACAATAACTGATCATCTTGATCTTCAAGGTGAACCGAACGAGTTAGTTAGATGGTCCCAAGGTTTTGGCTTATGAATTAATTTTAGAAAGGGTGTGCAATGCAACTCAAGCACGGCAATATTTACCAATATACCGTCAGTGATACATCGCTTCCATGTGTGTAGGAACACAAAGACTTAAAGGAAACTGTAAATCATGACTTGAAAACAACTGCGCATTACAATGCAGCAGACACCAAAGGTTTTTGAGCGTTACGTTTACTTCTCCGAGCATTCATCTGCTTTGACAAGATGTTTCAGACCTTTGTCCCACTTTTGTAGGACCATATCTAGAGTGCCGTTACCAAGCTTCTGTTCCATATACTGCTAAGGTTACTAAAAGGCTCAGGAGTGCTTAGAAAGTGGGAGAAAATGAGTGAAGGGTCTTTCCAAACTTTCTTATTATGAGGGATTAAAACGCCCAAACCCTTTCCTCCTATAGCGTCTCAGAAAGCGAGGTGACCTAATATTGGCATTACGTATATTTAATAATGACTCGGTTGTTAATATGTCTTATCTTCTTGATACCTGCAGAGCCAATCATTTCCGAAGCCACAGCAAGAACATTCAAAAACCGTGGTTTTATAAAATTAGAGTAAGGCTCTGTCTGCAATGCTTTACCTAACCAAGTGGTATCAGCCCCATCATTGAGAGTTTTCAAGGAGCTGAACCCCTACTGAAAAACGGAGTGCAAGCGTTGACACAGGTCCAACAACCCACTATCTTTATTAGCGAAGACTGAAAGCTGAATGCCGAATAATTACCTAATCTGATTTCGCACATACGACAATACTGATTCAAGCGTTTCAAATGGGTTTAAATAGAAGAAGACAAGCTTTCGCTCAACAGTCGTAGTGGACGAACGATGCTTCCAGCTATGAACCTAAGTATATTCAACCAGCAAAGGAGAACTGTTGGTAAATTATAATGAAGGTGAAACTCCTCCCATTAAACATATTGGATCTTAACTAATTAAGTGTACACAGCTACTGTAAATGGTCCCCATATCTACTACATAAACACTCGAAGCTTGACTAATGAATTGCTGGATATAATAGTTTGTTCAAAAATAACAATATGTCACGCGAGATACCTCAGTTTACAGGCAAGATCAAATCGTTACGAATGCTCCAGGATTCACTGTAATACGTTGCTCAGATAGGTCGATATGTTATAAGACAAAATGGTCATAGAAACAAGGGGTAAATTTGTGTAAGTTAGAATATGAATGATCTCGGTTCAATGTAATAACTGGAGTGCTCTTTTACGTGTGCATTATGATGTGCAGCTGGTGGCTGAGAACTAATGCAAGGAACGTCCTTAGGCAATTATTCCTAGACGCAACTTGGCAAGTGCATAATCTGTCAGTTAGGACGTTAACTTCAACGGATCTTTTTGTGTGTTCCCAGACAACAAAATTGGCAAGATTCTAGTGTTGTGAACGAGGAAAAAATTGGGAGAATCAAACACAATTGAACATCTTGGAAAAATCTGAGAACCAAACATTAAATACTTCATTTGCAAAATGTCAATCAACTGTCTCGAACTTGACTATTCCCTCTGTAAAACGTCAATTAACTGTCTCAGACTTGATTGCTATTTCGTTTCCACACCAATCATTCTCTTTTCTCGTTCTCTTTCCCTCGATTTTCTTAACCTCCTGCCGCCAGAAATTTCACTGTCGATTGATGATACATGCTACCTATATCTGCCGACATCACACTAGTGCACACAGCTGTACATTTTTTCGAAGCGTCAGAAGTACTAATAAACGTTAAGGGCGAAGTCATACGTTCCACATGCGTTTGCTTTTTAGTCGGGCGCCAAGAGTTTGCAAAAACAGAGACGGAAAAATAAAAACCGAGACGCGGAATAACCAGCATTCACAGCTGATGAAATTGAGTCATTTGTATTAGAAGAATTAACGTATGGTTGCAAAAACTTATTACCTTCTACTAGGTACATTTGTACACAAGCATATTTTGATAAGTTAAGGAGACGTAAAAAGTATGGTACAGAATGAACGAAGGAGTTTCAAGATAGATAGAGTTTTAAGATCATGTAAATTTCTAAAATTTAGTTGAGAAATCAGTGTTTGGATACACAAGTGTTTTCTATTTCATGACAACTTTTGTTACTTATTTTTATAATTATAAACTTAATTACGTCATTACTGGATTCCTTTTTAGCGTAATTTTTCAGGTCAGCTTGTAATAGGAGTTTTTGTTGGGTAGTGAAACCGATTCAAGGTTACAAGCATGAGTCAAAGAGGTTATTCTACATAGGGAAGTGATATAAATACCAATGATTCACTGGATCTCACTAAACCACAAGGAGCTGAGTTAACAAACTTGTCTGCTCTACAAACATGAGTGGTTTGAAGGTTTCTTCCTGCTTTCATGTTTACTGGTCGGGAACTCCACGTTTCTCCTTTCGTGATGTTAGAATGTCTTAAGTTTTTGGTGTGTATGAATAGCACATTATTCTGAGCTCCAAGTTGCACACATTGCTGGAATACACCGTCTCTGACAGTTCCATGTCACAAGTAAACAAACAGCTTAAGATTCTGTATTGTGGATAAGGGATCTGTTTGGTTTATCACACTACTATAAAGTTTTGGTCCGTTTTGGTCGTGTCCAGTGTCGTCATTTCTAATTTTTCCTGTATCTAGATCTAGTTATCACAGCCTTCGTATCTGCACCAAGAACTCATTACTGAACGTCCGTTTCAATTGTTATCGGTTACAGCTAGTC